TCCATATTTTGGTGGTATTCCCTTGGAAGTAAAGTACGACATCTTTAGAGTCGTGTATGTCAGCGGAGACAATGCGGAGACAAAAAGTTAGTTTAGTACCTCGTATAACATTTTTATTTTCATGTGGCAAACACCTAAATATTGGAAAGGTGACTATAAAGCTGTAGTATTGCTAAATCACGACCCGACATAACTGGGCTAACGGGCCCTTTTTTTTTGTACCTATGGCCTCAGTGCCTCACTTTTGGTCTTAATGTTCTTCGCTTTTTCAGCCTTGTTGATTCGTTGTTGTTGGAGAAAGCAAAAGACATTATAAGTTTATATCAAAGCACTGCACATTTTTTAGAAGTTCGAAATCTCCGATGCCAATTTTTCTTAAATAAACAGGAAAAATTATACAGAGCGTTTTTATGATTAAATGACCAAACGATCGATTTAATATTCAAAGCGCTTTTCGAATTCACAATTAAAGAGTCAAAAGCTAGCTCTACTTTCAAAAACATTACTCACAATAATTGTACCGAGAATAGTCTTGTGACTTCACACATTGGGTAAAATTATCACGTCTCAACTTCCGTAAAGAGGAAAAAAACAATTTACACGAACTTTAAAATAAAATAATTAAGATATATGCAATACGAACACCTACTTGTTAGAAACTCGTGCACTTGTTTCTTGTTTATCAATAAATTCCAACAAAAACGAGAACTTGTGTGTGGTAGTTAATCATAACCATATAATTACGCCTAATGATTTGTAAAAATGAATAATAATGACTCTCACTAAATTTATGGATAATAATGAGTAATAATTATAAATATACGATTAAAATTAATGTTTAACTTTATCTGAACTTATAATCATTTTATCAATTTCATTTTCAAACAGAGGATTAGTGGTCGGAGACATCGAATTAATTGTCTAGAAAAGATAAATTGAAACATTTTCAACTACGATTTAACTTTTAAGACTGCCGACCATTCTTTCGTGGGCCGACTCCTATCTCTCTCTCCAAAGAAAGGGAGGTTAATGTATGGCCCACGTTGAGAATGGATGAGATTTTTGAATGGAAAATTTTCATATTTAAAAGATAAAGTATGATTATTTTCTAAAATCAAATATTAATTAAATTTTATTTTTGAAATAATTAATTAAATATATTTAAGTCATAATTCCATACTATTTGGTCAAATTATTTATTGGTCATGAATCAAAATTTATTCATTGGTCACAAATTAAAATATTGGGGGAAAAGTTACTTGTCATTGTCAAAGTCTCTTTTCTGTTAAACTATGGGGAAAACGCCAGAACTTTCAAAATATTGGGGGAAAAGTTACAAAGTTGAAGAACCCATAAAAAAATGTTGTGCTCAATTCGTGTTACTCAACAACAATTATGTAGCATTGTACTTATCAACGAGCAGAGCCGAGCTGAACCCGAGCCGGAAAAAAAATGCTCGAGCTCGACTCAAGTTTTTTTGGGCCCAAGCCGAGCAAAGTCCAGCCAAAAAATATGAGGTTCGACACGAGCTGGGCCCGACTCGAACTTTTTCCTAGTCACCTAAGTCGACGAGCTTTTTTGCAATTCCTATATTTAAATGATTTCATCTGCGATTTTGGGTGCCCAAAATTTAAACTCAAGAAGTGATATCTATCCATGATTGAAGGGGGTGAGTGGTCAAAGTTAGGGCAAGAAGTCAAGGCATGATTGGGGCTGTGACATGGGGAACACTACACGTGAATGGAGTTCCATACTACTGTCCAAATACCCAATGCACTAATGATAATAATACCTTCCTAATAGAAAGAATGTTTTGGACTAACGTACTGTGTATTCAATAGTATAAACTCAAATTTATATTTAGTATATGGAACATCTCAAACTATATAATACTATATTCATTTAGTACAGTAAAAGAAAAATAAGTTAAAAATTCAATGCCGTCATGATTGAATTTGACTCGAAAAATCAATAAACAGTTCGATTGTAGAGTAAAAAAAAAAAATTAGAAATTCAACAATCATTTATCTATTTTTATATTCTCACTTGTTAAATTCTGATTTGATCTTTGACTATTTTCATTTCCAGATCAATTATTGCGCCCTTTTAAAAAATATTTTAAAAATTGATTTATTTTATTTTCCAATCATATTCCGTGTTACCTACCAAACATGCACTAATGACTAATAGGCATCGTTAAAATATTGTATTTCCTACTTTTGAATAGAGGGAAAGTTGTGGGGCACTTTGCACTTTCCTAAGGACATGGGACTTTGAGCTCCATATTTCTTTTTTAATTGAACCGTGCTATTTGTACAATCAAGGTTGAGAGCCTCGGTTGACAACCACTTACACATAGGATTTAGTGACCTCATCGGCTAGGGTTTAGTGACCTATAATTTGAGGGCTATGAGAATGTCAATAATGAATTTGAATCTTTCAATGAAGTGTTATACGTTTTGTGGTGTTAGATTCTTTAACACTTAAATAATTTTCATATAGATTCGTGTGATCACATGTGCATGGCTTTATATTAAGTTATCTAAATGTTAAAAGAATACATCTTAACTATTCAACATTAATGATCGACTTATTCCTATTTAAATATTGGGCGTTAATTTGCTAATCGAATAATTCATTAAGGATTGATGGTGCAATTCTCCCTCTTAACAAGAAATCCGTATAAAGTATAAACACGTGTACGTAATCAGGATGGCGTGGGAAAGTATCCGTATAAATTACCACATTAATGTATCAAATAACTACATATCATGTGTGTGCCACATAGAACGACTACTGCAGTGAGCGATTATGAATAACATTACTCTTTTCAAAATACATTTTTGCTCAAACGAGGGCTAAATGGCAATGCGAGGAATTTTTAAGTGCAATTATTAACTACTGCAAAGACTTCTATTTTTTTTTCCTTTATTTAATTCTAATATCGAGAGGGGCCCACCGCAAAAGATTTTGGTCAAACCAAACCTTAATAAATTGTTTACAGCTTACTTGTAATCATTGTTAAAGTCTAACCATGTTTAATTTGCATCACTAAATATGAAATTTAAACCTTTTTTTTTATGTTATTCCTATCCTTCCTTACCAAATATGTGAAGATAAATTGATTGAACTCATTAACTGCATGTCAAATACTTAGAAGTCTTTAATCGGAACATATTTCAACATGAAGCAATAACTACATTGGAGCAAATTTTAAAGGTCGTTTCTAAGTGCATTTTTTTTTTTTTATATAAAAACTTACTAAGATTCTATCAGCTTTTTAACATGCAAACTTCAATTTTAACAATATATCTCACGGGACTTACAATTTTTAATCATTCAATCAAATATTTCATCAACTTTTATTAGAATATGTTAAAAAAAAATTATCAACCAACCTCTAAATTGTAACTTTGAAAATATCCAGCACTATCGGCTGTTTATTTAAAGTGTGAGTATTACAAAATACTAAATATTGAAATATTAAGGGTATGTTTTCTTTACCATTTTCAAGCCCTTTTCTGTTTTCGATTTTTCAAAATAATGAAAACGCGTTCTTTTTCCAATTTTCGAAAGCGTATTTTAAAAAAAAGTTAAAAATTTACAAAGAAATCCCAAAACGACAAATCGTTTTAAATGTTTTAAGTGATAATCAAGGCAAAATTTTCAAAACGTCTTTTGGGTGTTTTCAATCACCGCCCCACCACCGTGGCCCAACCACTATTGCACCACCTCGATCACCATAGTACCACCGCGACCCACCACTGCACCACCGCCTGAAAACCACCGTCGTCGCCACAGCTACAACACTACCACTCAACCACAACCAGCAAAAACATATTGAAAGCCACTTTCCGGCCACCTAGACCGTCGGTTTCCACCACAAACAACCTCGCATCACTCCCTTCTATCACCTCCAACCATTCATCAGCCACGAAACAACAAGAATTAGTAAAAATTGGAAGCCAAAAAATCATTAGGCACTACCTGTTTCTGCAGGAAACTTCACTCCAACGAAGCCCAAGTTCATTCAACACCACGGGTTGAATGCTCATCCCCAGGTGACTTCAACCATGTCCCCAATCACCCCAAACAACTTTGCAATGTTCGGATTTCATCCGAGAAGAACGACAGACGCAATTCGAGTTTTGCACATTCTTTCGCCGTCCGACTGTTCCACAATTGCGGACCACATGGGTTAGCCTCCTCTCCACCTGGTGCACCTTGCCCAACCATGGGTCAAGGCCAATTTTACCAACGACGGAGGAGATGAAGGTGGTGACGGTGGGCTTCGTTGAAAGGGACAGAGAGAGGGGGAGGGGAAACGGGTTTTTGATTTTTTTTTATTTTTGAAAATAATTGTTCATAATCTCAAAAAGAACACATTTTCAACAATCTCAAAATGAACACTCGAAATACAAAATTTAAAATGAATTCAAAACTTAAAACACAAAATTGAAACACAAAAGAACAACCCCTAATTTTTTTAAATTATAAATACTATAAATTGTCAGACTATCCAATTAAATTGCTATATATTATACTTATTTAATTTTGTAGTTTATTAGTATGATTACTATAAACTTGACTATTTTTAGGCAAAGTGAAGATTAAAATGTGAAACACACTACAAATATAAAGAAATAAATGGGACTCAAACATGCTCAAAGAGCAAAATAAAGAAATAATGAAAAACAAAAGGATATAAAACCTGAAAATAATTCATTCCAAAAATCGGCGAGTAGAAGGGTCAACAAATCGGTAAAAGATCGCCCACCTCCCACGTTCTTATACGTTACTCCAGTACTCTCTCTGGCATCAGCTCAGGATAGTGACGATAGTCTGTGGCTTCCTTTCATAAAGTGCTCTGGCGTCTTCTTAGCAAAACGCTCTCTCTCTCTCTCTCTCTCGGAGTCTCGGTCTCTGTTAAAGTGCGTGTGAGTTGTGTGTGTGTGAGAGAGAGAGAGTCTGTGCGCGTGTGTGTGAAGGTGAGGGATCTTATGGAGTACGAGAGGATACACACGGTTCAGGTATGGGTTCTTCTGTGCTCCCAATACACAAACACCGACATGCATCTGTGCATTCAATTTTCTGAAGTTGTTCTTTTACCTTGCTTGGGTTTTACAAAATAAATTTTTTTAATACGCTTGTTTTGATGCATTTTGCACATTTTACTCACCGGAAATTATACCAAGATTTTCAAATGGGACTTCAAAGACACACGGGATTGTTTCTATTCCACGATTGTTTCGAAATATTGGATTTTTTTTTTTTGAAATCTTCCTATGTGGATGTACTTAGAATTATGTAATTTGAGCAAAAGATGCTTATTTTTTCAAATTGTTTAATGTAGACTGGTATAATATCTCCAAGTAAATTGAGGATGAAACTATTGGGGCCTCACCATCAGAAGAAAAAGGAGGAATCAAACTGTGGCTCTTCAAGAACATCTCCTGCCAGGCTTGAGGATTCCAAGTTAGTGAAGAACAGCCTTTTGGCAATCCAAAGTGGAGATTTTAATGAGGAGGGTATGAAAAATTTGACCCATATCGATTTTTTGCTTCAAATCTTTATCTAGAATTTTTTTTTATTATTATTTTTTAACTACTGAAGAACCACCTCAAGGCTCAAGCTGTGGCGTATGCCCAAGGTACAAAGGGTGTTGAATCCTGCCTAACGGAAATGCCCGAACTTTTTTAATTTGCAGTTGGAAGTGATTGTTCATGTTTTTAGAATAAATTTTAAGAGGAAATTGATTTATTTGCTGAACTCTAGTTATCCTTGTAGTGATATGGATCTTTAAAGTTTTTCCTGGGGAAATACCTTGTTTTTGCAAGACTGAATATTTAGTTATTTTGATACTTAAATACATGTTACATAAACTTCATCACTGATCCAGCGATCCCCCCATCCTCTGCCTCCCGTTATTGCAGCTTGCAGTTTAGAAGTTCAACCAGCTAAGTACGGTAATTTGGTGTTGGATGCTGGCCAAGGTGATTGCAATTCCTCCCAGCAGAAGGAGCTTGCCCTGAGGGAAAATGGGAATCCTACTCATGCCAAAATGCAGCTTGTCCCAAAGACTGATGGCAGTAATTCGAGTTCAGTACACCCTGTAAGAACATATGAAGATGAAAATCTTGATTATGATAGTACTTCGAGCTTTGAATTTCACAAAGGGGAGAGAACTCAACACCAGTCCATGGCACGGTCATTTTTGGGACCTACGCCTTCCAAATGGAATGATGCGGAGAAGTGGATTATGAATAAGCAAAACAAGCAATCTAATTCTTCAAAGAAGACAAATATAAATCTGCAAAATCAACCGAACTGGGTGACAGCTGTGAATTCGGTTCGAGTTGCTCCAGAGTCTACTAGTTATGAATATAATAAGTCATCAGTTAAGAGGGTAGAATTTAGTCAGCCTGCATCAGGGACAGGTTCGGGTAATTTTGGTTTTGAGTACCGTGGAGCTCAACCCACTTCAGATTCAGCAAATGGAATGAATGCATTAATTGATTTGTGCCCTGAAAGCAAGGATTTGACAGAGGTGCACATTAGAGGATCATCTTGTTCAAAGAGCACAATTGAAGATGCCACAGGTGATTAAATGTCGTAATGATACCTGAATTAGATTAGAAGTTCCACCATGTTCACATTTTCCTACATCTTTAGGCCCAAGAACTCAACTTTTAGCCTTGAAAGAAAAGAAAAAACATTGAAAAATTTTCAATTCTAAAGATCTTAATTCCAAACTCACACAAAACGGCTTCCTGAATTATGCAGGCATTCCTTCCATAAGGGCAGTTTCAATGAGAGACATGGGAACAGAAATGACTCCTATTCCGAGTCAAGAACCTTCAAGAACTGCTACTCCAGTTGGTGCATCAACCCCACTCCGCAGCCCAATTTCTTCTATACCATCTACTCCTCGAAGAGGAGAGCGAGCACCCACACCAGCAGAGCACTCTTTTGGCAATGCATCACAATATTTAACTGCAAATGGGAAAAAAGAGCCATCCGAGCAAGACCAAAAGCACAAGACGAGAAGAGAGATTGTAGCCCTAGGTGTCCAACTTGGTAAAATGAATATTGCTGCTTGGGCAAGTAAGGACGAGAAAGAGAAAAGTATCTCTGGAAATGAAACTGTGGAGGTTGATGATGTTCGAAGAATAGAGTATTCAAAACGAGCATCCGCATGGGAAGAAGCTGAAAAGTCCAAACATTCTGTCAGGTTCCTCCTAAATACTGACTGAAAAGTTTACGAACATCCTTTGAGCTTATATTTTTTTCAATGCATGCAACTTATTGACTGAAATTGAGTCACACTGTCAGGTTTAGACGAGATGAAATAAAAATCCAAGCATGGGAAAGTCAACAGAAAGCAAAGCTTGAAGCAGAGATGAGGAAAGTAGAGGTATCTTAGCTTCTCCTCATCTCCTCTATGATTCAAAATATACTACACGTCATAGTAATTAAAATTCTTCAAAAACAAAAACAAACAAAAAAATTATAAATTTTCCTTAGCCAACTCACTCTGTTCTTTTAGGAGGTCCAGAACCTAGTATAAAGTTTTGGCATGTTCATAATTGAGTGCTTTGTACTCTTCAGTATTTTCTACCTTTGGATTTGTGAATATCCGTGGATGTTGGTGAAAGGCCAAACCACATAAATTCCTCATTTATTCTCTGATTTATATTTGATTGAGACGGTATAATCACATTCACATCACTTCTTGAAGCTTTTTAGTTGCTGCCAAATCCTTCGACTGGTTTGGCTTTTCTAAACAACTGCATCATCATATTATGTTGTTGTATTATGGTGAAATTGAATCATATAGAAAGGATATTTTGGCATTATGGATGTAAACGAAAGTGGTTTTCAGGCAAAAGTTGAGCAAATGAGAGCACAAGCCCAAGCGAAGATGGTCGAGAAGATTGCATTGGCAAGGCATAAATCAGAGGAATTGCGGGCTGCTGCTGAGGCTAGAAAAAATCGGCAGGAGGAGAAAACTGCTGCGCAGGTAGAATACATTCGTGCAACTGGTCGAATTCCATCATCTCCTTTTATCTGTTGTGGTTGGCCATAACACCATTACAAAGTTTCATGGATTGAGGTCTCTCTCTCTAGCCTTGTCATCAAGGTTTTTTGTGTATTTGTTAACAATGTAAAAGTGGAAGTCTTTAGTTGAATGAATGCAATTATACTTGATCAAAGGGAGTTGTTAACCAACAAAACTGCTTTCACCATAGCTGCATCACAGATGTAGAGTAATAGTCAGTTACAAACAACTCCAAATCATCCAAACGGTCAGAAATTCTTTAAAGTGTTTTTAGTTCTTGAAGGTTCATCATCTTTGCTTGTTGATCAAACTTCAAGGCTTCATTAGTTATTTGTCGGTGTATGCCATAAGCAATCTCAAGGATGATAGGGACAAATATTGCTTTAAGATGATGTATCATATCCATGTTCAAGCCTCTAATTGGAAATTTATTCTATTCTTTGTGGTTTTATTTTGATTTCTACCTTCTCCATTTCGTTTATTTATTGTTTCATTAATTTGTGTATGAATTTTGAGACTTCGTTTCTCGTGATTTTCCAACACAACTTACATTCTACAGTTATTTCTCTCTGAATTCTGGATGATGAATGAAAGTGTATTTTTGCCTTTTTGGATTCTTTTGTTGGACAAAAACAATTGAAGAAATAAGTACTTTTGGACCTTCCACTTTTGAAGTGTCTAAAGAAGTCTTTTAAGGCCTGGGCAACTAGTTGAGTAAGCCCAAAAAGTTTGTATTTGTAAGTGGGCTAAATATGTCGTGTTTGTTGTATTGGGCTTTGAAGTAGCTTCACTCGTTTTTGAACCTTATTTGAATTTAGGCTATGTTTGATTGTGCAAATTTTTCCATGGAAAACCAATTTCAACTTCCACTTTTTCAATGTTTGATAGCAAAAATTTTCCTTGAAAATTGTTTTCTTGGTTTCCCTCACATGGGCACAATTTCAATGGTTTTGTTGAAAATGAATTCCCACCACTTTGGTGGAAAAAAAATTCTAGGTTACCCTTATTTTTTTATTAGTAATTGGAAAAAATTATAGATACAATGGTAAAAAAATTTATTGCTTTTATTGATAAATTTCATGCAAAACATAGTCAAACGAATGATATTCGATATAATTTATTATTATTATTATTATTATTATGATTGCAATGGGAACAAATTTTAGACCAAATAGTAAAAAAAATTATCACTTTATTAATTTGTGTATGAATTTTGAGATTTGTTTCTCGTGATTTTCCGACACAACTTACATTCTACGGTTATTTCTCTCTGATTCTGGATGATGAATGAAAGTGTATTTTTGGATTCTTTTGTTGGACAAAAGCAATTGAAGGAATAGGTACTTTTGGACTTCCCACTTTTGAAGTGTCTAAAGAAGTCTTTTAAGGCCTGGGCAACAAGTTGAGTAAGCCCAAAAAGTTTGAATTTGTAAGTGGGCTAAATATGTCGTGTTTGTTGTATTGGGCTTTGAAGTAGCTTCACTCGTTTTTGAACCTTATTTGAACTTAGGCTATGTTTGATTGTGCAAAATTTTCCATGAAAAACCAATTACAACTTCCACTTTTACAGTGTTTGGTAGCAAAAGTTTTCCTTGGAAATGGTTCTCTTGGTTTCCCTCACACAAGCACAATTTCCATGGTTTTGTTGAAAATGAATTCCCACCACTTTGGTGAAAAAAAATTTCCAGGTTACCCTTTTTTTTTATTGGTAATTGAAAAAAGTTCTAGATACAATGGTAAAAAAAATTGTTACTTTTATTGATAAATATCATGCAAAATATAGTCAAATCAATGATATTCGGTATGATAATTTTTTTATTATTATTATTATTATTATTTTATTTTATTTTATTTTTTTATAATGGGAACAAATTCTAGATCAAATGGTAAAAAAAAATTATCACTTTAATAGACAATTTTCATGAAAAACGAAGTCAAACGGACACCAAACCTTCAACATTTTTTAAGTGGTAAATTATACAAATCAAATACAATTAATTACAATTTTCAGTAAAATAAATTTTAAACAATTCAATTCTCTGTAATTCATTTTCTTTCCACCCAAATTTCACATTTGCAATCAAACTCTTATTGACATAATTTTGACATTTTCATTATAAACACTGCAAAAAAAAAAAAACTCTCCAATTCAAACAAAAAGTTTTATGAGAAAGAGGCTAAGAGTTGTATAGGGAATTTATAAACGTCAACAATAACGATTTATTTTAAGAATAGATATACTGACATAGCAAAGTATGTCAATACTAAGCTAAAACTAACTGATCGAGTACGTTATCTTTACAATTTCTAACATTTTCAAGCGATGTTGACTACATGAACAGATACCTTTCTTGTATCGACATTAACCAATTGACCGCACTACCACGGGGGTACAAGTTTCGCGCACAAAGTAGAAACGAAGCAAACATGAGAATTTTTCATGTTGTAAAAGAGGAACAATTTTAAAATTAAAGAGTTTTGACTAAAAAATTCTCTTAGAAAAAACTTGAAAAGACAATTACTTTCTATTTTCTCTTAATGCTTAAGGTTCTTGGGAAATTTCCTCAACCAGTACAAATTGTCATATTTGTGGACCCCGACGTTTCTTGCTGATTACATTTGAGTACCGTAGGGTTCATCGACTTTTCAAATTCCACACATATAGGTACTATCATCACGTATAACTAATTAAAAATTCAAATAATAATAACAAAAATAGTTGAAATAAGATTAAGAAAAAATTAAAATAGAACGTGATTAATGCTCGCCAACAACCCACTTGAAATAAAAAACTCTAACATGCTCATCTACCTCCTCTCCCTCTTTCTTTAAGATACGTGTGTGTATATATAGATCAATAAGTTTGTGATTCATGAACCAATACTCTGATCAAACTCTCAAGCTAAGAAGTGAAATCCTTTTCACTAGAAGCTTAAGGGCCTGCCAGAGTTTCCTTATCTTCCTGTCCAAATGGGAAGCCTTCCAAACCAAAAGCCAGAAAATGGATTCACAGGCACCACCATTAAACCTTTAGATCCTGAGGAATTCAGAAGGCAAGGCCATATGGTCGTAGACTTCCTTGCTGATTACTACAAAAACGTGGACAAGTATCCGGTTCGGAGCCAAGTCGAGCCGGGCTATCTTAGGAAGAGGTTGCCGGAATCTGCACCGCATGAACCGGAAGCCATTGAAGAAATTTTAAAAGATGTGCAGAACGATATTGTTCCAGGGATAACGCATTGGCAGAGTCCAAACTATTATGCTTATTTTCCTTCCAGTGGAAGCATTGCTGGATTTCTTGGTGAAATGCTTAGTACTGGGTTTAATGTTGTGGGATTTAACTGGATGTCATCGCCCGCTGCAACTGAGTTAGAAAGTATAGTCATGGATTGGCTTGGGAAAATGCTAAAGCTTCCCAGTTCATTTCTCTTCTCTGGAGGTGGCGGGGGTGTGCTCCAGGGGACTACCTGTGAAGCTATTTTGTGCACACTCGTGGCTGCGAGAGATCAGATGCTGAACAAGATTGGCAGAGATAACATTGGCAAACTTATAGTGTACGGATCTGATCAAACCCACTCTGCATTACAGAAGGCAGCTCAAATTGCCGGTATCGAGCCAAATAACTTCCGAGCCGTGCAAACGACAAAGGCTACTGCTTTTGGGCTAACCCCAGAGGCACTCCGAGCAACAATTGAATCAGACGTGGAAGCAGGGCTCGTTCCGCTCTTTCTCTGCCCCACCATTGGAACTACATCGTCAACTGCTGTTGATCCACTCGGGCCATTATGTGAAGTTGCAAAGGAGTACGGGATGTGGGTCCATGTTGACGCTGCTTATGCCGGAAGTGCCTGCATATGCCCGGAGTATCGCCATTTTCTGGATGGTGTTGAAAATGCAGACTCTTTCAGTTTCAATGCACACAAATGGTTCTTGACAACCCTGGATTGTTGCTGTCTCTGGGTGAAGAACCCCAGCGCCCTCGTTAAAGCCCTTTCAACATACCCCGAGTACCTGAGGAACAAAGCCACTGATTCAAACCAGGTTGTGGACTACAAAGACTGGCAAATAACGCTGAGCAGACGATTCAGATCATTGAAACTATGGCTGGTTCTCCGGAGCTACGGCGTGGCCAACCTCAGAAAATTCTTGAGGAGTCACGTCCAAATGGCCAAGAATTTCGAGGGCTTGATCGGCATGGACAAGAGGTTCGAAGTTGTAGTCCCCAGAAATTTTGCAACAGTCTGCTTCAGAATTTCACCTATTGAAATTGGAAAGAATCACAATGTCTCCAAGGAAGATGCAACAAATGAATTCAACTGCAAATTACTAGAATCCATCAATGAGACGGGTAAGATCTACATGACTCATGCTGTGATCGGAGGTGTTTATGTGATCCGTTTCTGTGTTGGGACAACCCTTACAGAAAACAGGCATGTCAATTTGGCCTGGAAGACAATTCAGGAACATGCAAGTGCACTTCTTAGCATGTCCTGAAGAATCCATTGAAATTTTGGAATGTTAATTTCCGACCTTGAAAGTGTGTACCTTGTCCATTTTAGTTTGTGAAATTCAATAAACGTTATCTCAGACCATGATTTTTTCTTGATTTGTATAGGTGACCTTAATGTCATATTACGAACCAGAAAAACTGGAAAAGTAAAGGATTTTTTTTTTTCATTTCATCGACCAAACCACAAGAAAATGTCATACTCATGGAAAAATAATAAATAATCCAAACCACAATAATTCTTCTATTGTAATTAACGAAATACGCACTGCAAAGTGATGATAGGTGCAATGAAGTCGTCTACAATAATAAATTTCATACTATAAGTTTGTGTAACATTACACCCTAATTATTGTTCCATATATCAAATCTTTCGTGTGCTGGCATATAATTATCCAGATTCAACATCAGGTTGCAGACTGAAACTTACCTAATCGTATTACAAAATTTGATGCCCACTACGTGGGACAACTGTAATATATTGTATTGGACCATGGGTGACAAAAACTCAGCAACTTTTACAGGTAAGATCACGGGAGCCTAAGTCAAATTATTGAATGATATTATTAAAAAAAACCATTAACACAAAATCATATCAAAGAAATTTTTAAATGAGTATTCTGGAATTCGAAGAATTTAATTTAGACAAAAAAAGGAATCAAAAAGTCAGTTGCCGGCATTATTTCATTAGCGGTGACTGTATTTTTTTAGTATCAATTAACTAAATATTAATTTGTTTTCAATCGCATAACTTCATCTAAAATTATTTAAACGGGTGAACATCGATACCATTGATCATTTATATTAGTAAAACTTCACTTATTTTATGCCTACAATTAACAACCATGTGTTATGATTGCATTTTGTAACACCACCGATGTTAAATAACATTAATTTAATTGAAGTTAAATTAAAATATAATTACCCAATTGAAATCAAAGTATAATTTTTCGATTCAAATCAAATTAAAGTGATCCGATAAAATAAAATTTAATTATAATTACTTGATTGACACTTGATAAAAGCATAATTATCACAAATAAAATTTTCCTGTAAAATTTGAAATGCAAAGCAATTGTCTGGGACCTAAACTTTGTCATAATCAACCATGTAATTACATGTACGTCATTTTTTACACTTTGCAACGTGGCAACATACAATTGTACATTTTATAAAATTAAACAATTTTCCCCACAATCATTTTTTAACAACATATCAAATGGCATGCTCGATGTACACTTCTAGCATTTTTGTTGCATCAATAACTTCAAATTCCAACTCCCTATTTTTTGGGTAACATGTGAAATATGTGAATTAACAATTCCATACGTAGAAGGGTGAAATAACCAGCATTGCTAAGAAATCCCCAAATTAAATAGTCATGAACTGCAGGAGGGCCGTGACCGCCGGGGGCGGAGGCTGAATTGGAATTTTATTTTATTGGAAAAGAATATCTTGGTCCTTGGATGTTAAGGAGAACAATTATTAAATTCTCGAAGGCAATGACAGTAGAGGCCACCCATATGCCTATGCACATGGATCCACCTACCCTTCTTCCGAATATTATTCTGTACTTGCAAGCCAGAAAGACCGACTGCCTACTTAGGTCACCTTCGTTCTTCGTAAATCATATACTAGAATAATGAATAAGATTATAACTTTCTTGATTTTCAAGACTATTTAGTGCATATTTGGTATAAGATACGACTTAATTTTCTTAATACATTCCCATATCATCTAATCCTCGGCTCGTTACATAATATAAGTTATTTAACATGACATTGCGACATCTTAATTTAACCACAAGTCACACACACCCCCGTCTGCCATATTCTGGCAAACTGTTAGGCAGCTACAGACGGAAGGAACATGGACCTTGGCATATCCTCATCTATCAAAACTTAGGAACTCAATCAGAACCGGCGGAGACAATAGTCCCTATATCACTTTCAAAAGGACCATTTCAAAGGAAAAGGCTGGTCCCATAACTGGTAACCACAATAGAATCGTGAGTGGTTGTAATGTTGCTTCATCACCTCCACTATTATATTGGATTACTCTCCTTCAAATGAATGGTCTTAGGAACACTGTCAATAACTAAAATCTCATCTTCAAACCGTCGACGAAATAAATTTTATGCGATCTTTTTGGCTTCTCTATTGATCTCATTGCTAGAGTTAGTAGAATGTATTAATATATCCCACCATCACATGTTCTAACAACTACAATTTCTAATACAAAATTTTTGGTCAAGTAAGAGTTTTAGTGCTTGTTTTATTAAAACTGCAGCATGCAGCTCTCACAGGAAACCAAAAAAATTTGGTGTCAAGGTAGAGAAAAGGGACCGCGTGAATAATTAACATTCAGCAATAAGGAAAAAGTTGCAGAAAATCTTTTATTATCAACAGGGGGAGCATAAAGATGGATTGACGCCATACACGCCATACAGATAAAAATTAATAACCAGCAAATGCAAAGAGGAAGTCTAGAACAGCCTAATAGGTATTGAAATGGTATCATAGATTCATATTATACCAGCTCTACCCCTTGAAGGACCAAATCTTGGTATATTTGCATATAGGAAGATACACGTAGGTCATTATAGACGGTGAGAAATGTCAAAAATGGTAGAAACCAAATGGTTGGAGCTCAGTGAAGATGGAGACATTTATGGCAAAATGGCAACACAATTCAACTAGAATACCATCACAACTAGTACACGATAATAATGAAAGGTGGCACCTACCCTTGAATATTTCCATGTGTTTGAATTTTATTTCCATATCAAATAATCAATATTATGTCTTAAAACAATAATTTTTAAAAAAAAAAAATTCTTTCACTATCCTGATTACTTACTATTAGCCATGCATTGGATTTTGCTCGAAAAATCTCACCACAGGCTACTAAGCTGTGGTGCTTAAAGGGTATTTTGATCCATGTCCCACGATAAGTTGAGGCTACAAGCTAAGTCTGGAATACAATGATGTGATTCTTCCATCAAGTTTTACGTTACACGCGTGAGAGGCAGTATGGCATAATAGTTCACATTGACAGAAATACAATCTCTACTCGTTTGGCACAACTTTTTTATTTACAAGCTCAGATCATGCAACGTGTAAGAAACGTAAGCATTCATGAGATTATTATCCCACATCAATTATAGAAAAAATTCCATTTTGACATAACGTTCAACGTTAAAAATATATCATATGTTCAACATTTTCAGACCCTCTTATTAAACTGAGCATTAGCCACCAGTCGGTTGTCACCTCTGCCGTCCATTTACGGAAAAATATATGTATAAGTTCTAAAAAAATCTATATTATCTCACAAACCAACCGTGTATGACAAAATGTTTTTTTTTTTTTTTTGGTGGTACAGAAAATATCACGTGCCCAAAAAAGATAAAGGGAAGAATATTATATAGCAGGAACAAAATTTTGACAGACCACTGCCTATTAAAAAAAAATTATATTAATATAAGTAATTTATATTGTAGTATTCAAGATTTAAATGTTTCTGATATGTGGCTATTCTTCGTCACTATACGAATCAAATAAATTGTAGAGCATGTAAACTATGAAGCTGAACACAAATGCAACAATGTTGACCTCTTTTGTTATTGACTTCAAAGTCACCTACCAGTCAATTTGAATGTTAGCTGCAGCTACACAATGCACGTGGACAGGTTGGTACATGGACTGTATCATTTCCCTTTTTCTTTTTTATTCTAGCTACCTACCAAATCATATTTTTGTGCTACACGCTGAACTAATTCATTTCGATTTCCCCAATTTTCGTTTTCATAATATTATACCCGAGACTGAACCCCACAAGGCCAAAATCATTAAATAAAAAATGAATATTATTTGCTCTAATCATATAGGCAAAATAATGTTAAAACCCTATTTGAACGAAGCAAAACATTTTACAAAAGTGTTCCACTTTCATTTCACTGGAAGGGCAGGACACATTAAAAACAGATCATCATATTAAAATGAAGTAAAATGGATGTCTTAATTGATAATGACTTCAAAATAAAAGGAAGATTGATTACTTAAATAAATCTGTGAAAACGATAAAATGTATAAGAGATCGCCAATTATGAATGCCCCTATTTACATTTTCTCAAAACTCATTTTCAACCACATATTCTCACATAAAATAATATTATACGTAAATATTTACTTAACTCTATTTATGTATTATTTATAGTGCAATTTTAGCGGTTTGAGTAGCTGAATAAAAACTCTCACTATAGACAATTGTCATCTTTCATTTCTGGTGATTTTAAATGTTCTCACTAAAAGACAATCAAAATCGATGTCCAAGAAGATGATAATCCAACTCTCATATATTAACAGGAAAAAAGGTATATTCCCAAAAAATTTAAGATCGCCACTTGTCTTTCACCACTCTGCTCAATCCTAGCGGAAAAATCCATTGAATCAAATATGTTTCCACTACATGTTAAAGATCCAATTCTCATATATATCAAGTTGAAGTAAAGGTTATGAAACATACGCAGAGCATTAACTAGCACGGAAAGTACAATCTTTAACTACTCATTCAAATGAAAGCCATTATGATAATCTGGTGAAGTGAGAATGAGGACACGCTATCAGTGACTAGTAGGAAATCTAAGACTAGCTCTGAGGTTTATAGCCAATAGGCTACTATTTAGGAATGTGGGACTTGGTTTAGATCGGGATTAATTCAGTTAAGTAGACAGTCTTGCAAGTGTTTTTCTATAAGTTAACAATCCATAATAATTCAAAAAAAAAAAAAAAAATCCTGAACTGAGTGCGTTAACACGTCATTACTATTTTCAATACTTAATAATTAATATTAGACCATTGAGTTGTTTCTTGGTACAAATTGTTAGAAGGAATTTCGAAGTGTGAGAATACGCAAGTGCAAATGTTATATAGAAACACACAAACACATCTATGTGTATGCATTTGAATGCGAGTAGAAGTAAAAA